CTGCTCCTGCTCCTGCTCCTGCTCCTCCTCCTCCTCCTCCTCCTCCGCCTCCTCCTCCTCCTCCTCCTCCCCTTCCTCATCCTTCTCGTCATCCTTCTCCTGCTTCGCATCCCCCTCATCGTCCATCTCGTACTCCTCCTCATCCTCCTCATCCTCCTGCTCCTCATGCTCCTCCTCCTCCTCCTCCTCGTCCTCCTCAGTCTCCTCCTTCTCCTGCTCCTCCTACTCCTGTTCCTCCTCCTCCTCGTCGTCGTCCTCCTCCTCATCATCCTCCCTTTCTCCTCCTCCTCCTCCTCCTCCTCCTCCTCCTCCTCCTCCTCCTTTCTTCTCGTCATCCTCATCCTCATCGTCATCCTCCTCCTCTTCCTTCTCGTTATCCTCATCCCCATCTTCATCCTCCTCATCATCCTATTCCTCCGCCTCTTCCTCCTCCTCATCATCATCGTCATCATCAGCAGCAGCAGCATCATCATCGTCATCATCATCCTCGTTGTGCCCGTCTCCTCCTCATCATCATCCTACTTCGCCTCCTGCTTCTCATCGTCCTCCTCATCCTCCTTCTCTTCCTCCTCCTCCTCCTCTGTCTCGTCCCCCTCCTCGTTCCCGTCTTACTCCTTCTCCTCATCCTCCTCCTCATCATCCTCCTTTATCATCCTCTTATTAGTATTCCTCCTCCTCCTCCTTCTCCTCCTCCTCCTCCTGGTTCTCTTCCCTCCTCCTCCTCCTCCTCCTCCATTCCTCCTCATCCCTCCTCTTCCTCCTCCCTCCTCTTCCTTCTCCTCCTCATCTTCCTCCTCCTTCTCCTTCTCCTTATCTTCTCCCTTCTCCTCTTACTCCTCCTCCTCCTCCTCCTCCTCCTCTCTTCTTCCTCCTCCTCATCCTCCTCTTCCTCCGCCTCCTCCTCTTCTTCCTCCTCTCCTTTCCTCCTTTCCTCCTCCTCCTCCTCCTCCTCTCCTCCTCCTCCTCCTCTCTCCTCCTCTCCTCCCTCATCATCCTCCTCTTCCTCTTCCTCATCTTCCTCCTCCTTCTCCTTCTCCTTATCTCTCCCTTCTCCTCTTACTCCTCCTCCTCCTCCTCCTCTCCTCCTCCTCTTCTTCCTCCTCCTCATCCTCCTCTTCCTCCGCCTCCTCCTCTTCTTCCTCCTCCTCCTTTCCTCCTTTCCTCCTCCTCCTCCTCCTCCTCCTCCTCTCCTCCTCCTCATCATCATCATCATCATCATCCTCCTCCTCCTCCTCCTCGTCATCCTCATGTTTTGTGTGATCCTCCTCCTTCTCCTCCTCCGCCGCCTCCTCCTCCTCCTTCTCGTCCCCTTCCTTGTCCCCCTCTTACTCATTCTCCTCTTCCATCACTCCTCCTCCTGCTCTCCTCTTCCTCCTCCTCCTCCTCCTCCTCCGCCTTCGCCTTCGCCTCCTCCTCCTCCTCCTCCACCTCCTCCTCCTGCTCCCTCCTCTTCCTCCTCCTCCTCCTCCTCCTCCTTTTCCTCCTTCTTCTCCTCCTCGTCCCCCTCCTCGTCCCCCTCGTCGTCCTGCTCCTCCTCGTGTTTCCAGGCGCGCCCCCCGTCTCCTTGTCCATCTCCTCGCCCTTTCTCGGCGAGCTCACCGTGTCCCTCGGCCCCGCCGGGGTGGGCCGCAGCTGCGACTTCCCTGAGGCCTCCGAGGGGCTTGCGGGCCCGCGGGCGGAGGGGCCGCGCCCTGAGCTGCGGGAGGGGCGGCCCCCTCCAAGTTGACGGGCGCGCCAGGCTCTCGGCTGAATGCCTCCCCCCGCCGGGGTCCAGCGCGGATCCACGGAATCCGCGCGGAGCGCCGACAGTTCCTGCTCATGGCGCTCTTCTTCTTCCAGGGAAGCCCCAGCCTCCGGCGGCTGCCGCCCCAGCGGCTCGGCGGCGGGCTGCAAGGGGCCAGCCGCGCGCACGCGCGCGCCCCCCCCCCCCTGATGCCGCACGAGCGGGGCAGGCGTTCTGCCTCGACGCGCTGGCTTTCCCTCTTGGGGTCCGGGGGGCAGGTTCCCCGCAGCGCGATGTCAGCTTCTAGGGGAACGAACAGTGACGTAAGCATCAAAGCTCGGAGATCCGCGCGGATTCCTCGGATCGGCGCTGGGGCCCCCCGGCGGCGCCTCCGGTGTTGCCCCTGGCCCACTCCGCGCGCCATAGAGGGGGGTCCAGCGCCGATCCGAGAAATCCGCGCGGACCTCCGAGTTGTTCTGTGTGTAAACGTTTGTTCCCATAGCTTTGGTCTCGTGCATGGTGGCGAGGCTTGTACAGTGGAGGCCATGCCAAGAAACACCCTGCTTGCCTCCAGGGTGCCCCAAGTTTCTTGGGTTTCGATGGTTCCTGCTATGGAGAGCGTGACGCTCCCACACCAAAAATCCATGGACGTCCTGGGGTCTCAGGGGTGGGTTTCTTGTGGAAGGTTTCTTGTGGACGGGCCTCCACTGTGGCTTGATGAGGGCGGACGCCAAGGCGGTCGGTCGGCCAGCGGGCCGCGCTTGGGCAGAGGCGCACTGCACAAGCAAAAGAGAGGAGGGCGGCCGCGGTGGGAGGAGCGCGGGGGGGAACCCTCTGGCGTGAATAATGTGGCGCCAATAAAAGGCTCTCTTACTGTGGCAGGCTGATGCTACGTGCACTCCGCTTCCTCCTCCTCCTCCTCCTCCTCCTCCCCTTCCCTCGAAGTGACAAATTGCGTAAGCATAAACTATTGGAGATCTGCGCAGTCTGCGCTGGACCCCCCTCCCTGGCGCGCGGAGCGCGCCAGGGGCGGCGCCGGAGGCGCCGCCAGGGGAGCCCAGCGCAGACCCAAGAAATCCGCGCGGAGCTCCGAAAGGTTTTGTTTACAGTATGCAATTTCGCTCGTCATGTGCTACCCCCCCCAGCTTTTTCCAGGGGTGCGCTCCGAAGGGAATCTCGAGGGACACTCGCCGTGGCGACGAGGAGCTCCCTCCCCGTCGCGAGAAGAGGACGGAGCAATGCAAAAAAAGTCCTCGGTCCTCGAAGCTCGAAGCTTGATCGATGATGCTTCCTCTCGGCGGCGAGCGAGGGGGGGAAGTGAGTAGGGGCGGGCTTTTTCAGAAGCCTCGGGAGTTCCCTGACCCTTTTGAGAAGTTGTCTAAGCTCTCTCCGAAGAGACAGATTAGCCTGGCGAAGGACCCAACCATATGCAGCTGTGAACACCGCAAGTATAAATATAATCATCGCCCGCGTTCCCTATGGGGCCACGAACCTTGTGAGGGGCGTGCCGACATGCGTGGCGGGGCACACAACGCGAGCGAAGACGATAGGTCTGTGTGCAAGAGACTGAGAGCGCGTGAGTCTGATTGTGGATGAGTCTGCGCGCGCGTGAGTTTACGTGCATAAATGTCGACGCCCATGTCGGCGCGCCTCTCACGAGGATCGCGCCCGCGTCCTTCCCGTTATTATTATCCCTCTTTGCCCGTGCACGCCCACGTCCAAGGCTGCGGGCGCAGCGCCGCACGGAGTCCCCGCGACGCGCGCTGGTCGCCCCGAAGGGGTCCCCGCGACGCGCGCGGGTCGTCCGCTGCGCGGAGCAGAGCGAGCGAGCAGGCTGGCTCCCGCCCGGGATGCGCGGCCCGAACGCGGCCTCAACACGTCGAATACAATAAAAAGCCCCCAGACACCGAAAGTCGCCGCCATGCGAACTCCGCCACTGGGCCTCCATGCGAGTTCCGCCACGGAGACCTTAGGTGGAGCTCCCCACGGGGCCACGAAACGTGTGAGGGGTTAACAAAATTCGGCTGCGCCGCTGGGACTCTAGATGGAGATCCCTATGGGGCCACAACACGTCTGAGGAATGTGCCAAAATGGAGCGGCGCCGCCATGCGGGCTGCGCCACTGGGACCCTAGATAGAGCTCACTATGGGGCCACGAAACGTGTGAGGGTGTGCCAAAATGGAACGGCGCCGCCATGCGGGCTGCGCCACTGGGACCTTAGGTGGGGCTCCCTGTGGGGCCACGAAACGTGTGAGGGGTGTGCCATAGGGCGGCGGCGCCATGAGGGTTGTGCCACTGGGACCCTAGATGGAGCTCCCTGTGGGGCCACGAAACGTGTGAGGGGTGTGCCAAAATAGGGCGGCGCCGCCATGCGGGCTGCGCCACTGGGACCCTAGGTGGAGCCCCCTTGTATGGGGCCACGAAACGTGTGAGGTGTGCCAACATGGGTCGGCGGCGCCATGCGGGCTGCGCCAGTGGGACCTTAGGTGGAGCTCCTTGTGGGGCCACGAAACGTGTGAGGGGTGTGCCAAAATGGGGCGGCGGCGCCATGCGGGCTGCGCCACTGGGACCCTAGATGGACCTCCTTATGGGGCCACGAAACGTTTGAGGGGTGTGCCAAAATAGGGCGGCGCCGCCATGCGGGCTGCGCCACTGGGACCCTAGATGGAGCTCCGTGTGGGGCCACGAAACGTGTGAGGGGTGTGCCACAATGGGGCGGCGGCGCCATGCGGGCTGCGCCACTGGGACCTTAGGTGGAGCTCCCTATGTGGCCACGAAACGTGTGAGGGGTGTGCCACAATTGGGCGGCGGCGCCATGCGGGCTGCGCCAGTGGGACCTTAGGTGGAGCTCCCTGTGGGGCCACGAAACGTGTGAGGGGTGTGCCGAAACAGAGACATGCAAGGAGCAGATGCAAGGAGAGTGAGGAGGAGGAGGAGGAGGAGGAGGAGGAGGAGGAGGAGGAGGAAGAGGAGGAGGAGGAGGAGGAGGAGGAGGAGGAGCAGGAGGGGAGGCAGCGGGAGGCGAAGGAAGGAGGACGCGGGCGCTGTCTGTTCGAAACGAGGACCCAACAACACAGGATGGTTGGGAAATGAGAGTTCAGACGGCGCGAGGGCTTCTAAGAAGGCTCACCGCCTTCTAAGAGGGCCTTCTTCTCACTTCCCCCCCTCGCTCGCCACCAATCCTCGATCGAGCATCATCGGCGAGGGCTGGAGAGTCCCCGGCCCCCCGCCCCTCAGCAAACCCGCTGAGCCTGCAGCCGCCCCCCGCCTCTCCCAGGAGCTGCTTGGGCCGTTGCATGCCCGTGCAGCTCGGCGGGCTGGGGGCGATCTCCGTGATCGGAGACGCTGGGGGAGGTCGTCGTCGTCGACGATTATCGGTGGATTCCGAAGGGCGTCGGAGATTGCGGGCGTTCTCGGCATCGGGGCAGGCTGGGGGTCCGAGGTGGCCTTGCGGTGGTTCCCGCGGGCAAGAAGGGGGGATTAGGTTGACTGACCTGACTCCCCCGTCTTGCCCGCTGGAGTGGAAGAAAAAGGGGGGGTCAGGCTCGAACATCTGGGTTCGGTCTCCAGGGGCTGCCTTCGGACCCAGGACCGTCCAAAATGGGTCCAAGGTTAAGTCGAGCATGTCCCTCCACAGGACGAATATTCAAACATTGTCAAACAATTGTTTGGGGACATTTGAACTACCACTTTTGGTTATCCGTAAGGGCTTCGCCCCCATGCCGCTGGCACCCCTCTCTTAGAATGGGATTTGCCAGAGCTGTGTTGGGATGGCTGGACGCTGACGTCAAGCAATGTCGGGACTTCACGAGAGAGCCAAGATTGATGTACGATGGTTTATGGTTCCGGTGGCGCGAAAATTGTGTAATTTATTCGGGTTTGAGGCCTCGGGGACGCAAAGATTGTGTAATTTACCAGGGTGTATGGCCTCGGCGGCGCAACTATTACCTAATTTACACGGTGTATGGCCTCGGGGACGCGAATCTTGTATGATTTGAAAGGGTTTGAGGCTTCGGGGCCGCAAGCATAGTGTAATGGATTACGGGTTGTGGCTCTGGGGGCACGAATATTGTATGTGTATATAGACATATATATATATATATATATATATATATGGCTTATGGTTTCGGGGGCGCGAGTATCCCATACTTTACGAGGGTGTATGGCTTCGGGGGCGCGAACATTGTATAATTTACGAAGGTGTATGGCTTCGGTGACGCGAACATTGTGTACTTACGAATGGGTTCTGGGTTCGGGGACGCGAGTATTACATAATGTCTGAGGGTTTATGGCTTCGGTGACGCGACTGTGACGTAATTCAATAAGGTTTATGGCCTCGGGGACGCGAATATCATGTATTTTTACGTGTCCCACGACCTCCCGGGAATCCAGACAACGCGATTCGGGGACGCTAACCAGAACGTTTTTCGGCTCCCCCCCCCTCGCGCGCTCGGCTACAATTACCTGTCAGGAAGCAGACCGCAGGACTGCAACAGTGGAAACTGGAAGCTGCAACTGGCACAGGGAGCTGCAAGCCTAATCTTCGCAGCCCGGTGGTCCCGCAAGGGGGCCAGCGGATTCTTGCATATAGTTGAATATGTTTGGCTTCCAAAATCCGCATGTCAGGGGACATGCCCGACCTGAGTCCAGGGTGAGAAAAATTGCACACATGGACCCCAAGGGGAGGTCAGGGGACCGCTGTTGAGCGGGGTTGGCCCTATCCCCCCCTCTCCTCCTCCTCCTCCTCCTCCTCCTCCTCCTCCTCCTCCTCCTCCTCCTCCTCCTCCTCCTCCTCCTCCCCCTTCTCCTCCTCCTCCTCCTCCTCCTCCTCCTCCTCCCTCCTCCTCCTCCTCCTCCTCCTCCTCCTCCTCCTCCTCCTCCTCCTCCTCCTCCCCCTCCTGACCGATTTCCTGAGGGCCCATCCAGCTCAGACCCCCTGGTCGCCTCCAATCTCAGAGGGTCTCGGAGGTTCCCAAAAGGTTCTGGGACGTCGTCGTTGTCGCCCTTCGGGGATGGACGATTGGAGGTCGAGGAGGTTTTTGGAGCGTCATCTTGGTTTTCGAAGCCTCGGAAGGGCGCCCTCCTGGCCCCAGCTGCATTCCCGTCGAAGTTCCAGGGGGGGGGGATCGACCGAGCCCGAGCAGCTCGTCGGGTGGTCGGTCGAGCCGTTGGGGGCGCGGGCACAATGCCTCAGTCCGTTCTCCTCGGTCTCCCCGTACCCTCCGCCCCTTCAAGGGATGACAGTATCGTGCGACACCTCCGTGGCGACGGCCGATTGTCATGGATATTACGAGTTCGGATGGCCAGGTGCGGGAATGTTTGAGGTGGGCACATTGCCGAGGTTGTTCACAGAAATGATGTCGATACAGATATATATATATATATATATATATATATATACATATATAGTTTAATTCGTATCCCTATTTCAAGGGCCGGCGTGTTTTTTCTTCTGAACCGCCTCATATTCTTAATTGGATCGGCCGAGACCCAGTAAATTGTCACCGCCTTCCTGCTTTTGCTCTCACCAACCCTAAAGCGGTCTCTGTGACGAACCTGTCCCTCGAGAAAGTTGGTCGGACGGCGCGACGCTCGAACCTGATGCTTCAATGATTCGGAGGTCAAAGCCCAGAAGGTCTGGTGGATTCCCCTGAGGCCTGGAGTCGCCCCCCAGTGCAGTTCAGGGATTTTCCGGCCCCTGCGTGGCGCCAGAACCGGTATCCAAACGCAGCGCTCAAGTTTACCACCGTCCGATCTGGAGTGCGGCTGCCAAAGTTGAGACCCCGGCATGCTCCGTCGAAACATTGTCCCGCTGCACCCCTCAGATGCCGAGCCCGACCTGCTGACATTGAGGTGTTTCAAGTTGGGCGAGGGGAAGAAGATGCTCTCATGGGCCAGGGAGGGGTTGATCTGGAAGAACGCAGATGAGGTGCGTGCCACTCTTCAAAACATCGCCTGTGTATGTCTCAGCTGTTTGGTGCAACTTCTGATGTTCTGTTACTTGCGACCACACCACCGCTGTCGAAGCAGTGCAAATGAGCCACCGTTGCCGAAGCAACGCAGATGAGTCACAACGCGTTGGCACTCCGAATTGCTGCAGCAACGGGTGGGTCCGCCGAGGTCTTGCCACGTCCCCCCCCCGGCGGGCGCCTCGTGGGCGCCTCGTGGGCGCCCCGTGCCATGGGTGGGTCCGCCCGGGTTGCGCCACGCCCCCGCCTCGTGGGCGCCTCGTGGGCGCCCCCGGGCCCTGCGTGGGTCCGCCGAGGCTGCGCCACGTCCCCGCCTCGTGGGCGCCTCGTGCGGGGGCCCCGCGCCACGGGCGGGCAGCAGAGCCCGCACAGCACGGCTCAGGCCGCACAGATCACACCGCAGACGTGCCACAGCGGGGCGCACGCCGCAGAGCGCAGGCAGCCTGGCTTACACAGCATAGCCTACAGAACGCAGTTACCTCCGCATACCTTTCACCTCCAGGGTGCAAGAATTCAGAGTTTCAGGGTCCACGCTGGCCAACAGCTGATATCCGATCGTATATGCACATATGGCTTGGAGCATCGGAAGGAGGAGTGCGAAACGCGCTCCCAGCGCCCGCTTGCACACAGCCCGTGCCGACAGGAGCGATCGCGACGTATTTCCTCCTGGGGGACCTCTTCGAGCCGGACTTATTGGCGCACGGGTCAGATCCGAAAGAAGCAGCCGTGCTAGATCATAAGTAGTGTTGCGTGTTATTGCCATGCCATCTCAGTTGTTGTCCACATGTTGTCCACATCCGTGCGTTAAGCTCGGAGAGGGTCTGCCCCCGTTTCGCGTGCCCGTCGCAGCAGAGCAATCCTCGAAATTCCACAGCTGCATGCCGCAGAGGAGGCCATCGCGAGAGATCCCCTAGCCAGAGCCCAAGAGGTTTCAGGACTTCTCAGATTCTCTCACGTTCCACACGGGCTGCAGAAACGGGGGCCGCTATATACTCTGGAGGGATATTGGGCCAGTCGAATCGTGACATCGTTCTCGTCACAGAGAGGGGCGCACCGAGGGGAGACACCGAGCAGAGGTGCCCATGGCGGCTGTCGCGAGCTTCCTCACGGCGTTTCCATTCATGGCGGTGTTGGACCAGGCGTTCTGCCGCGAGGGCAGGCTTGGGATGGACAAGGGGGGCGAGTGGACTAGAGCAGGAGAAATTGCGAATGCCTACAGCAACTTGCAGGGCTGAGACAGCGAGTAGGAGGAGGAGAAGGGCGATCGCCTATGATTCTGACTCGTGTGGTCTCGAAGCGCTATCCCCACTTGCATCCTTGGCTTTGATCGCTCAGTGAGGCCTCGGTACGAGGCTCGCGTGCCGTGCGCTGACCCTCAGTACCTCGGAATGGGCAGAGCACCAGCAGTGCTGGCGCTCTCGGCCTCGACAACCGTCAGCGCCCACAGCCCCGGTGTCTGGGCATCCCAGCCAGGGCGCCCATATAGCTATGATTCACAGTTGTGCGAAACTGGGGGCGTGGAATACATATTCGCATTTTTCTTGGCAAGAGTTTAAGTGAGACGCGTTCTCAGCATTACAGGATCCCTTATCGTTCCTGCATGATGACCATGAAGCAGCGGAGTTCAGAGGCCAAGTTGTTCCCCGAGAGTTTCACAAAGTGCACCCCGCATCTTCCCACGTGAGCCTCTCGGCATCTCGGTTGAATATATCAAGCTCTCGAGCGGTGCCGTCACAGGCTTGTGGTTTGTAACGACTCCGGCGCAAAAACGTGCAACTTGCCAGGTGTCCGGTACCATCATCTTCTGTGGCCTCCTCGACAAGAGCGGCGCGCATCTGCAGAACTTCCCCTGGAGAACGCAGGAGGCCGCATTCCCTCGCTCACTCACTCCTTGCAGGCTGCCAAGCCACGCAACAGTCCTTTACATCCTTCCTCCGCCGCGGTCCAGCGTGCCTCTCGGTCGGAATGCTTCGCAGCCTGGTGCCGGTGGGAGGGCAGCTGGCACGTGGGGCTCCGGCGCACCCTGCGCGTCTGTCTTGCCGTGCTTCCTCGAAGCTGGGTCTGCCTGTCGAAGCCCAAATAAGCGGCTTGCGAGCTCCTGGCGCAGTATGGCATGTGAGTCTGGGCGCGCGACACTTATCACTTCCTCCTCCTCCTCCCCCTCCTCCTCCTCCTCCCCCTCCTCCTCCTCCTCCTCCTCGTCATCCTCCTCCTCCTCCTCAGACGCTCCTGGTAACTGCACGCCGGGTCGGGAGGAGTGAGGGCCAGGTCAGGGAGTGCCAGTGGCGCCAGGGATCCCGTTCCTGGCCAGGAGGCTGTCACATCTCGATCTGCAAGCCTCGTCGCCATCAGCGCAGTGCCGCAGGGTGGCTGTAGACAATGAGCCATCGTTGAGGGGGGCACCTTCAAGGTTGAGATGCGCATGGGCCCTCTTTCTTCAACGTCTCTGAAAGCTTGACGGGCGCACTGGACTCTCAGCGGAATGGCCCTCCGCTTGCGTACCTCAATGCGTTGTCTTCGACTTTGGAGGCTGGGGGCAAGTTCTCTGCTGTGCGACTTCAATCTGGTCGCGTTATTTATGACGAGAATCGTAGAGCTACGGGTAGCACCTGTTCGTTGCAGTTGCGAGCGTTTTCGAGTGAGGGGCCCGACCTTCGGTTTGCAGCCCTCAGAGGACCTGCCTAAGTTGGATCGGGGTAGTCCTAAGCCGAACCACGTTTTATATGGGGCCACCGCTTAGCAGCTCGAGCGGACGAGGAGAGTAATACAACGCTGGTTGCAGAGGTTGCCGAGGGCGGTAGATCTGTTGATTGATCGACGTGAGCTTGTTCGGTGGCAAATCATGGGAGCCTTGTATACCCTCGTTATTCCGTCTTTAGCGTCGACTAGCGTCGATTAGCGTCTGGGAGTCGATGAGATGTGCGATTTAGCATCGGCTAGCGTCGATTCAGTGACGATGTAACGTCGATTAGCGTCGACTGGCGTCGATTAGCGTCGATTCGCAAGAACCGACAAGATGGCATGGGAGATTCCCATGAGTTGCCACCGAAAGCTTGTTGGTCTGCTAGATTAGCTGGCCTACGCCGCTCTGCCGACCCCTTGGGAGCCCTGGGTGCCTCTGTTCTGGGGGGGGCGCTGTCGTGAATTGGAGCCGCGCGTCCATCCAGACAACTCGGCATCGTGCTCAAAAGGGTCGAGGAGGAGAAGGAGGAGGAAGAGGAGGAGGAGGAGGAGAAGGGGAGGAGGAGGAGGAGGAGGAGGAGGAGGAGGAGGAGGTTCTCGGGCCTCTGGTCGGCCGCTTGGGGGGCCTATTGGGGTTCTCTTTGGGGGCACCTGTTGGGGGTCTTGTGGCCATCCTGTAGGGGAGGGCAGCGAGGGGCCCCTGCGAGTTCCCCCTCTTGGGCTCCGCCTGGGGCGCTCATGGGGGTCTCTTGGGCAGTCCTGAGGGCAGTTCGGGGCAATTTCGGAGCCTCTTCGGTCGCTGTGGGCCCTCTTGAGGGCCTTCTGGGCCGTCTTGCAGCGATCTTGGGGGCCTATCTGAAGATCGAGCACCTGTGGTCTGGCATGGAGCCTCACAAGTTGGGCACGGGCCCATCTGGCGCCGGGAGCCGCCGGAGAAGCCACTGACAGTGGGGGCCCATGCCGAGAAACACCCTGCTTGCCTCCAGGGTGCCCTGGGTTTCTTAGGTTTTGATGGTTTTGCCATGGAGAGCGTGACGCTCCCACGCCAAAAATCCATGGTCGTCCTGGGGTCTCAGGGTTGGGTTTCTTGTGGAAGGTTTCTTGTGGGCGAGCCCTTACTGTATACGTGGGCTGACTTCGTAATCCCGCCCCCTGTGTTGTTCCCCCCCTCCCCTTCTCGTCCGACCCGAGGGGGGGAGGAGGGGGTCGAGGAGGATCGGCGGCGAGCGAGTGGGGGGAAGGGTCAGGCGATCGCAAACATGGATCAAGGGGGTGTGGATTAGCGACAGGTCACGTTTCCATGGGGAATCGCTGGCTTCCGCCGCCGAAAGAGGCGGCACCGGCCGAATTTTGGGGAGGGCATTTGGCGACCGCGCGCCAAATCCATGGATCGTTTATCCATGTTTGCGCGCTCCCGAGGAAGTCGGAGAGGAGAAGGCCTTCTCAGAAGGTTCGGAAGTCCCCAGGCCGCACAAGAAGTTTCCTGAGCCTTCCCCGAAGACACAGAAGACTTCCCCGAGGACACAGAGCACTTCTCAGAAGGGCGGCGGGCGTCGGAGAAGTCCCTCTCGGGCGGGTGGCCAAGGGGTGGCGACCTACATGAGGGTGAAAAGGGCCCGGAAGGGGCACTTTGGGGCCCCTTTGGGAGCCAGCAGGGACCCAGAAGGAGCCCTAAAGTGCCCCTTGGGGGCCCTTTTTCTTCACCCCCCCTTTTCGGGCCACCCCCCCCGGTGCCACCCGCCGGAGTCCCGCGGAGGCCTTCTCTCCTTCTCGCTTCCCCCCCTCGCCCGCCGTCGAGAGAAGGAGGAGGAGGAGGAAGAGGAGGTGGAGGTGGAGGTGGAGGAGGAGGAGGAGGAGGAGGAGGAGGAGGAGGAAGAGGATCCCTGCTGGGCAGTTCTCGGGCCTCTGGTCGGCCGCTCGCGCCTCTGGCCCCCCCCTCGCCCGCGAGGAGGGCGAGGGCCCCGGGCCCGAGCGTCGGAGCGCGACTCGGCAGCACCGCGGGGGCCGCCGCCGCGCACAGCCCGGGCCCCGGGCGAGGGCCGGCGGCGGGCTGCCGCGGCCGCGGGCTGCGACCCCGTGGAGTCGGGAAGGCGTCGGCGGCGGGCGGTGTCTCGGCCCCCGTTTCGGCCCCTGGGGGGCCCCGGCCGGCCCTCGGGGCCGTGAGGCAACGGCTCGGGACGAAGAGCCGGTGCCGGGGAAGGGTTCGAGACCTCCGCGGGGCGACGTCACGAAAAAGTCATGGCGTCGGGGGTCTGGGGAGGAAGCCGAGCGATGGGTTGGTTGATGTTGATCGATGGGCGTTCTATTCATCGATTGTGGTTTGTTTGATCGGTTGGCTTGACTTGATCGATTGCTGTTTGTTGTGTTCGATTAGTTTGCTTGATCGGTTTGTCCACCTGCCTGACTTATCTCTGGTCTGCTAGGTTGCTGCGTCGTTCTGTTGCGCGGGGTTGCATAACAGCGTTTGTTCGCTTCCGCGCCGTTCCGAACACATCCAGGTCGCTAGCGAGGGTCCGACATCGGCGGCCCCCCAGGCATCGCTCGGCACGCACATGCCAGGCTCGCGGGAGGCGGGGGGGGGACGGGCGACGTCGGCTCGAACGATGGCGGCACGCCAGAGGGTTCTGATACAATCGAGTCACATGATGGGGACGCGCTGACTCGGGTCAGACACTAACCCGTGTCAGCCAGGGCCATTTCGCAAGCCTTGGCCAGTCACACGGCAGTTCCCAGACCGAGGTCGGAGGAGGGACGGGAAGGAGGAGTCGGATGCACTTGGCTCCCAGACGCGGGTCCGCCAGACGGCATCGCCCCGATAGGACCGACCCCCGTCCATTCATGCTCAGTTCACGCTGCCTGGGCCACGGCAACGCAGCGCACCAGCCGCGCTTGCCCCCAGCTTGCAGCGCGCCGAATTCCGCGATGGCCAAAGAAGCCGAATTCGGCCACATAGAGGCCCGGGCCGATGCAAGATCTAGAGTGCGAGTGCCGGGCCCCCGGCAGGAGTGTCGGTGGTTCAGTGGGGACGGGAAGCGATCCAAGGGCGGACTTGCATTGCTTCAGAGCGTGAATTACCTACCCCGCTTTCGCTTACAGGAAAAACCAAGTCATACCACGCGCCTCCTCGTCGAGCGGCCTGACCAGTACAGGCCGTAGTTTGGCATCGCTTGGTATCTCTTGGAAGCGAGGGTGGTCAAAAGCGAGGTAGGTTTGTTTTCCCCCTAATTGCTTGAGGCAAGCGAGGTAGGCTTGTTTTCCCCCTATTGAATAGGTTTGTTTTCCCCCTATTGCTCGAGGGGACCCCAGCCTTCGGGGCCCCCTCCTCCGAACCGCCGAGGCGCTCCCCAGAGGCCTCGGACCCTCCGCCTCCCAGACACGAGATCACGCCGTACAAAAAAAAATCGGGGCGGGAGGCTTTTGGACCCCTTTCGGCCTCTCGGGGCCCTCGCCGGGCCTCGGGGCCGTCAAGAAGCGGCTCGGGATGAGATGCCAGCCCCGGGGAAGGAAGAGGTCTGGACTTCAAGGGGCGCCGTCCTGAGAAATCCAGGCGTCGCGTGTCTGGGTCTTCGGGTCTTCCATCCCGAGCAGACTAACCGACGGTCCCGAGGCCAGGTGAGGGCCCCCAGGAGGCCGAAAGTAGCGGAAAGTCGCTCGTCGCGATTTTCTCATGACTCGCGGGGGTTTGAGGAGGTCGACTGGACGTAAGACTGACCCTTCGCCGCAGTGACATCTGGTGCGGGTCCAATGGGCCCCCCCGATCGCCGCAGGCGGTGCGACAGCAGCGGCCTGCGCGCTTTGCTCTTGCCACCCCGCGTCCCCCGTGAAGCCGCGCGCCAGAGGTCGCTCTTACCCGGGGCCACTCTCCCAGACATGGGGCGTCCCCTGCATCTTTCAGGACGGCATCCCCAGGATGCCTCTGTCCTCCCCGGCAATTGCCTCGGAACTCGGGGGCTCGGAACCCAGACATGCGACGTCCTGATTGTTGTTACCTAACAGCGAAGACTGATAGGTTTCTAGTGGGGTCAAAAGAGCTCACAGATCACTCCACAGGGGGGTCCGGGCAGGTGTTGGGAGTTGCCGGGCGGGTTGTGTCCACTTCGTTTTTCACCAACAGTCACACACTTCGTGCTCTTCGAGTTCCCAGAACTCCATTCCCAGGCTCATTCTGAATACCCGGATGCAACAGTCACACACTTCGTGCTCTTCGAGATCCCAGAACGCCATTCCCGGGCCACATTCTGGAGGGCCGGATGCAACAGTCACACACTTCGTGCTCTTCGACTTCCCAGAACTCCATTCCCGGGCCACATTTTGGATGCCCGGAGCCAACTGTAGGCCACTTCGTGCTCTTCGATTCCCAGAACTCCATTCCCGGGCCACATGTTTCGTGATTCCCAGAACTCCATTCCCGGACATTTTGGATGCCCGGAGCCAACTGTAGGCCACTTCGTGCTCTTCGAGTTCCCAGAACTCCATTCCCGGGCCACATTTTGAATGCCCGGAGCCAACTGTAGGCCACTTCGTGCTCTTCGAGTTCCCAGAACTCCATTCCCGGGCCACATTTTGAATGCCCGTAGCCAACTGTATGCAACTTCGTGCTCTTCGACTTCCCAGAACTCCCATTCCTGGGCCACATTTTCAGCAGGGGTAAGAGCACGACGAGGAGGAGGACGAGCAAGACCAGGAGGACGAGGACGAGCAGGAGCAGGACGAGGAGCAGGAGGAGCAGGAGAAGAAGGACGAGCAGGAGGAGGAGGAGGAGGACGAGCAGGAGGAGGAGGACGACCAGGAGGAGGAGGACGACCAGGAAGAGGAGAGGAGGAGGAGGAGGAGGAGGGAGGAGTACCAGGAGGAGGAGGAGGAGGAGGAGGAGGAGGAGGAGGAGGAGGAGGAGGAGGAGGGAGGAGGAGAGGAGGAGGAGGAGGAGGAGGGGGGGGGAGAGTACCAGGAGGAGGAGAACGAGGACCACCAGGAGGAGGAGGAGGAGGAGGAGGAGGAGGAGGAGGAGGAGGAGGAGGAGGAGAGAACACCAGGAGGAGGAGGACGAGCAAGACGAGGAGGACGAGAACGAGGACGACCAGGAAGAGGAAGAGGAGGAGGAGGAGGAGGGGGGAGGACTACCAGGAGGAGGAGGAGGAGGAGGAGGAGGAAGAGGAGGAGGAGGACGAGGAGGAGGAGGAGGAGGAGGACGAGGAGGAGGAGGGGGGGGGAGAGCACCAGGAGGAGGAGAACGAGGACCACCAGGAGGAGGAGGAGGAGGAGGAGGAGGAGGAGGAGGAGGAGAGAGCACCAGGAGGAGGAGGACGAGCAAGACGAGGAGGACGAGAACGAGGACGAGCAGGAGGAAGAGGAGGAGGAGGGAGGAGGAGGAGGAGCAGGAGAAAGAGGAGGAGGAGGAGGAGGAGCAGGCTGAGGCTGAGGCTGTTACTGCGACTGCCGTTGCCGCTGCGACTGTCATCGCGAATGCGACTACGACTGCGAGAACAGCAGAATTCGACAACTGGATTTTCATCTGAATCTTAAGGGGAATGCTTTCAGATATGCTTCTACACATCGCTGTTAGGTTGCTTTGCCGGGATAATTTTAATATACGGGGCCCCCGTAAGTCCCGACCCTTTCCCTGGGGCCGGCTTTTCATCCCGAGTCGTTTTCTGACGGTCCCGAGGCCCGGCGAGAGCCCGGCGAGGGCCCCGAGGGGCCGAAAAGGGTCAAAAACTTGCCGTCGTGATGTTGTCCACCACGCGAGGGGGTCTGAGAAGGTCACTCTTACCCAGGGTCACTCTTGCCTCTTGCGTGTGGTCGAGGACCCAGTGATCCGACGTCTTGGCTTTTACAATGCAGGGTCCCCCCGAAGTCTCGACCCATTCCCGAGGACTGGCTCTTCCTCCTGAGTCGTATTTGGCGGTCTTGGGGCCCGGCGAGGGCCCCATAGAGGCCGAAGACTGCGAGAAACCTCCGTCTGGATTTCTTCGGCGCCGTGGATCTCTGAAGAGTGCGAGCGCCGGGCCCTCGGCAGGCACGCCCGGCAGGGCCTCCGGCCCCGCCGCGCGGAGCTGCCCTGCGGGGGGCCCCAGCCCCCGCAGGGAGGGCGCCACGGCCCCCGCGGGAGGGCGCCGCCCTGCAGGGACGGCGCGCGGTGCTCCGCGGAGCGGTAAGTCGGGCCTGTCCCTCTACAGGAGAGGAGGAATATTCAAAAATAGTTTTTTATATATATATATATATATATATATATATATATATATAAAAAAAAAAAAAAAAAAAAAAAAAAAAAAAAAAAAAAAAAAAAAAACGTCTGGGGACGATTTTTCGATTATTTAATCGCTTCGCTCATTCCGCCGGCCTATATTGTCGCACCGTTGTGGGCTAGCCGAGTTTTGGGGCCTCTTGGGGGCCGTTTTGGGGCCTCTTGGGGCCTCTTTTGGGCCTCTTGGGCGCCTCTTGGGGCGTCTTGGGGGCCTCTTGGGGGCCTCTTGGGGCCTTTTTGGGGCCTCCTGGGCGCCTTCTGGGGCGGAGGGCTCGATTTTTCAGTTCTCGGTTCCCCTCTTGAGCCCCTCTTGGGCCCGTCTTGGGGCCTCTTGGTCCGTCTTGGGCGGCACTTGGGCCGTCTTGGGGGCCCTCCTGGGCCGTTCCGGGGCCGTCTTGGGAGCCTCGTGGGCCGTCTTGGAGCGGTCTTGGGAGCCTCTTGGGCCGTCTTGGAGCGTCCGGAAGCCGAAAAAGCCAGAACGCAAAAACATCGAAAAAAAAATGAAAATCAACGATTTTGGCCTATTGGGGCCCTCTTCGGAGGCCTCTTGAAAGGCCCTTGGGGCGTCTTGGAGGCCTCTTGGGCTGTCTTGGGGCCCTGTTGGGCGTCTTCGGGCGATCTTTGGCCGTCTCGGGGCCCTCTTGGACCGTTTTGGAGGCTTCTTGGGGACCTCTTGGCCCGTCCTGGGGCCCTGTAACAGGGCTCCGGCATCTCTGGCCCGACCTTGCCGGGACCTTGCCGGGGTACTTTTCGTCCGGGGACCCCCAGGGGCCGCCCCGCGCGCGCGAACTAGAAATACTGTTAACCAGGTACCGGAGATCTTAGCACGCCCTGGCCCGTTGGGCCGGTGGGGACGATTTTTCGATTATTTGTTCGCAACATTTTTGAACATGTCTCGAGTATTTTTTTCTTCCGAAATCTGCCTGTAGGGGGACATGCACGACCCAGGAGGAGCGGCGCGGGACTCCCGCGGCGGGCGCGGCGCGGAAGCGGGTCCCTGCCCCAGACAGGATCGCGTCGTGAAAAAATCAGGACTGGAGATTTTTGGCTAATTTCGGCCCCTGGGTAAGAGTGACCTTCCCAGACCCCCTCGCGCTGTGGAGAAATCACGACGGGAGGTGTTGAGCCAATTTCGGCCCCTGGGGGCCCTCGCTGGGCCTCGGGAGCGTCAACAAAACGACTCAAGCCGAAAAACCGGTCCCGGGGAAAGGGTCGGGACTTCGGGGACCCCGTATTTTAAAACATGATCGACCCACGAACCCGGAAAGGAATCTAGAACTGTAACACATGGCAGCGTTTTCAAAGACACCTGACTGGGTGACGGGCAAATGCAATGCTGAGTGTATCGATCTTGATGTACCCTGCCGAGGGCTGTGCTGTGCTGCACCGTGCTGAATTGCGATGTGCCATGGCGCGATTGTGCTCTATAGCGTCGTGGATCGAGTCCTCCTTTGCATCCGAGTCCTGACCGAACTGATCTGGATCTTAAGCTCGAGCTGCCTGAACACATAGTAGCTGCCCCAGAGCTAATTGACAGGGGAACATGCCAGGAGGACGCGCCGCGAAAAGTCCCAAGGGATGCGCCAGGCGACGTGCCAGGGGACGTGCCATGGGGACGCACCGCGGGACGTGCCAAGGGGACGCGCTACGGAACGTGCCAATGGATGTGCCACGGGATGTGCCAGGGGACGCGCCGCGCGACGTTCCAGGTGGATTCGCCAAGGGACGCCCCACGGAACGTGCCAAGGGACGTGCCAAGTTGCAATGCTGAGTGTATCGATCTTGATGTACCGTGCCGAAATCTGTGCTGTGCTGCGCCGTGCTGAATTGCGATGTGTTATGCCTCGATTGTGCTCTATAGCGTCGTGGATCGAGTCCTCCTTTGCATCCGAGTCCTGACCGAACTGATCTGGATCTTAAGCTCGAGCTGCCTGAACACATAGTAGCTGCCCCAGAGCTAATTGACAGGGGACATGCCAGGAGGACGCGACGCGGAACGTCTCAAGGGACGCGCCAAGCGACGTGCCAAGGGACGTGCCATGGGGACGCACAGCGGGACGTGCCAAGGAGACGCGCTACGGAACGTGCTGGGGACAAGCGTTTCGCTCGAGATATCCTGCCGACATCCTCAGAATTCCTGCGCGCGGGACGCGGCACGCGCGAGACATCCCGACGCGGAACGTCTCAAGGGACCCGCCAAGCGAAGTGCCAAGGGACGTGCCATGGGGACGCACAGCGGGACGTGCCAAGGAGACGCGCTACGGAACGTGCTGGGGACAAGCGTTTCGCTCGAGATATCCTGCCGACATCCTCAGAATTCCTGCGCGCGGGACGCGGCACGCGCGAGACATACTCGGAATTCCTGCGAGCGGGATGTGAAACCAAACATTTCGCCTGAGACATCCTCTGAATTCTGGACCCCTACGAGGCCCCCCGCGAGGCCCCCGCTCGAGACATCCCCCAATTTTGCAAAACCAGCGTTTCGCTCGAGACATCCTCAACAAATGTTGAAACAACAAGCGTTTCGCTAGAGACATCCTGTCAAAATCCAAAGAAATCCTGGCAAAACAAGCGAATTAGTCGACACATCCTCAAAATCCCTGCGCGCGGGACGCGGCACGCGCGAGACATCCTCGGAATTCCTGCGCGCGGGGCGCTTTTCCGCGTCGCGGTCAGCTCTGCAAAACCAGCGTTTCGCTCGAGACATCCTCAACAAATTCTGAAAACAAGCGTTTCGCTCGAGACATCCCCAACTCTGCAAAACCAACGTTTCGCTCGAGACATCCTCAACAAATTCTGAAAAACAAGCGTTTCGCTAGGGACATCCTCAAAAATAATTCCGCCGGCCCTACTCCCGCACGTAATTCATCACAGAATAATTTCGCCGGCCCAAGTCGCAGGGGGGCCGGGGGGTTAACCTACTAAAAGAGAACCCTGGGCCCGCGCCCTTTCCGGGAAAAATCAGGACGTCGCATGTCTGGGTTCCGAGCCCCCGAGTTCCGAGGCAATTGCAGGGGAGGACAGAGGCATCAGGGGCAACGATAGGGGGGATTAGGCATCGAAGTTTCGAGGCTCGAGGTTTTCGGGCGTTCTCGTCGGCCCTCATCGGCTTTCCAGCCTCGGGGTGCCTTCAAGCAGCTGCGCCTCGCCGAGGGCGTTCCCGGGGTGCCCAGAGCGTCCCGAACGGCCACTGGAGCGCGCCGAGTTATGCGCCGAAAATGAAGCACAAGGTGGGATCAGCTCGGGGGAGAGGCCTCGACCCCAGTCGCCCACGGATCGCCGATGGGGGCCCGATAGCCCCAACCTCCCCAGGAGCATGCGGATTCATTGTCGGAGGCCTGTCGCCGTTCTATCGGCGACGTATCGCCGATTCCAAATGGATTCCCCCCCATATCACATTCCCCCCCTATCGCTGCCCCTCTGAATCATCGCGTCTGAGGGCGGTCAGTGGTATCTACAGGTTCGTGCCTCGGGGGCCCAAACAGGAGTTACCCCGGACCGCAGTTATCCGAGATTAGTCGGGCCTCCAACCACTCCCGAATCATCGGGGCTGGGGGCGGTCAGGGGTGAATAGACATTCGTGCCTAGCGGGCCCAAAGCGGAATTACCCCAAACCAAATTATCCCGGATAATTCGGGCGTACATCCACTCCCGAATCATTGGGGTTGGGGGCGGTCAGGGGTAAATTCAAATTTCCAAAGCGGAGTTACCCCTGACCAGAGTTATCCTGGATAATTCGGGCGCACAACCATTCCCGAATCATTGGGGTTTGGGGCGGTCAGGGGTAATTACAGATTCTTGCCTCGCGGGCACAAAGCGGAATTACCCCAGACCACAGTTATCCCGGATAATTCGGGCGTACAACCACTCCCGAATCATTGGGGTTTGGGGCGGTCAAGGGTAATTGCAGATTCTTGCCTCGCGGGCCCAAAGCGGAATTACCCCAGACCAGAGTTATCCCGGATCATTCGGGCGTGCAGCCACTCCCGAATCATTGGGGTTGGGGGCGGTCAGGGGTAGCTACAGATCCGTGCCTCGCGGGCCCTCCTCCTCCTCCTCCTCCTCCTCCTCCTCGAGTTTCTCATCCTCTTCGTCCTCTTCCCCACGGCCGTTGCGCGGAGGAGAGGTCCTTAATGATTAAAGCTTCGCGTATCCCCACCAACCCATCCAGAAGCGCTCTCACGGCGAGCTGACTTGAGCAAGAACGCGTAGGATAGTTCAGCGGGACAGACACGGAGAGGGGAGCCGTCAGACCGAAGCCCAGGATCAACACAGGCGGGCCAAAGAGTGAACCACGGGTGCTTTCGCTGCTCTTTCGAAGGTGGGCCTCGGAGGTCTCTGGGGGCCATTCCTGGAGGAAACCGATCCGACAAGGTGGGGTCGTGAATCAGCAGCCCCCAGTCGGAGTCCGAAGCCCCGCCTCTTTTGGGACCTTCTTGGGACGATCTTGGGGCCATCTTGGTGATCTTTTTTTGTTCATTGTTTTGCCGATCGGCGCGGGCCTCAAAGCCCTCCCTCCCCCCCGCCCCATGGAGAAGATCTTGGCTGTTTTTGGGCGCCTGTTTCGAGCGGGTGAAATTTCCCCCAGAGGCCGCACTCTTGCAAAGAGTCGCACTTCGCAGAGGTCCGGAGCCAGACCCCCCTCCCCCCCCTTCCGCCCAATGTCGAAACGCCGAATAAAAAAAAACACCGAAGACCCTCAGAAGCCAGTCGGGACCGAAATGCTGAGAAGGCAAACCACACCGAAAAACCACGTGCTTGTGACAGATGTTGATCTCTCGGGGATGTCCTTGTGGGCGTCTCCAAGGTCACTTGGGCCCGTCTTGGGGCTATCTTGACGCCATCTGGAGACATGCCTGAGGCTATCTCGAGCCATCTTAGACCATGTTGTGCTTTCTCGAAGGTTACCTTAGGGCGTGTGGAAGCATACTGGAGCCATCTTAGCTCGGGATCCCCACATGCACGTCCCAGAGATGCCAAACTCGTGCATTCCTTCAGGGGGGGCTGGGGGGGGGGGGGGGGGTCGCGTGCGAACCTGTTTGCTGCAACACCAACACAGGCACGAGTGCACGTAAGACTGGGAGTCGCTCTAGCCAGGTCGAGCGGGTCAGCGGGCCCAGCCCATCCCCACCCCCCCTCCCATAACATGAGAATCAGTCGTGACGCAACCTGGTACAGGGATTGCATCGCGATCGTGACCACGACTCGCGCGCTAGACTGCTTGAGCTCATGACGGCGTGTTGCCATTCGGCTCCTCCGACTTCGCAGGTGAGGCGGCGGCGCGCTCGCATGTGTCGCGCAGGGGGAGGCCGAGGGCGAGGCGCAGCTGGAGGAGGGTGGCCGAGAGGAAGACCACGAGGGGGAGCAGCTGCAGCAGCAGCGTGCCGCTGTGAGCAGGAGCCGCCGGACCAAAAAAGCATGGCCGGCCTCGGTGCTGCACCTCCCGGCCGTCCTCCGGCTCGAACCCAGAACCGCCTGCCTCGCGCCCCCTCGCGCGCCCGTCGGTGCTCGGCGCGCCGTCGCGCGGGCACATGGGTGCGCGTGGCGGCCCCGAGGCGCGCGGAGGAGGACCGGACGGGCGGGGGGGCTCGAGCGCAGAGGTCCGCACGGAGGGCACGGTGCACGGAGGAACGGGCTCCTGTGCGAGAAGGCCGCTCGTGCCCCCTCTCTGTCCATCTTTCCTGCTCTCCTCTCGGCTCAGGTACTGATCGTCTTGAGCGCCCTCGATCTAGCGGGCGCGAGGATAAAAGATCTCCAGATTTTCCCCTCATCGCCCTCTACCTACGGACCACACGGTAGCTTCGACTCATCGGTCGTTAGTTTCCGTTCACAACTCCTGATGTTTCTGCGCCGCTTCCGACAAACAAAAACTCGGGATGAAAAGCCGGTCCCACGGAGAGCCCCGGGGCCCAGGGCCCGTTTTTGCCGGGACCCTTTTTCGAAGGGGGTCTTGGCACGAGGATGCTCAGAGCCCCGAATCATCTGGGGTAACTCGGGTCAGGGATAACTCGGGTTCGTTTTTCGGGAATCCAAGCCCCGAGTTACCCCGGACCCGAGCTACCCCGGATCACTCGGGCGTCCAGAGCCCCAAAATCATCAGGGGTAACTCGGGTCAGGGCTAACTCGGGTTCGTTTATCGGGAATCCAAGCCCCGAGTTACCCCGGACCCGAGTTACCCCGGATCACTCGGGCGCCCAAGATGCGATTCCATCGCGCCGAAGAAGCATGATAGCATCTGGGCTGCCTTGTCGCGGCCCGCCTCAGCTCCGAAAGGTTTGGTTACGACGGCCATGGGGTTGGTCGTTGCTTGGCTGCCGTCGTTCTCCAGGTTGCGCGGGAAACTTGCTTCAAGTCGTCACGGTTTTTCCGGGCCACGGTGATTGGCAGACCGTGATGCTACCGGAATGAAGTTCTGATGGAGCGTACGAACGGACAGAGTTTTGCGCATCCGGTGCGGCAAACGTTGATGGTGTTGCAAGGTTGCCAATGCGAAAGGTGTTGCAAGCAAGTTGGCCGTGCTCAACCATCGACTTCGCTATTCCGGGAATTTGTTTTTGGCTGCGAATGTATCAAGGCAGGTGTGCATACTCAGTGGAATTATGAACGCCGTTCGAAAGCCGCACTGGCCGAAATCCAAGTGGTGATCGCGACAAGAGCTCTGCCTGCACTGAGCGGCACTTGCATGCAATAGGCGGCGCTCGCACCATCATCCCAGTCGCAGTGACTCTCAAGAACTACCGAAGTATATTACAGGCCATTGAAAAATTGTATATCCTTTTGCCCTACCTCTTCCCCCTGGGCGGGACCCCTTGGGCCCAGTGAACACGCTTCGCTTTGTCAGCGGACAGCGCACATCATGAGGGATTCCTTCTCTGGCGGGAGCTGGTTGCGATTTCTTGGCCATGGCAGAGTGGTAATGACCACAGCAGCCACGATTAGATGATCTTGCAGGCTGCCAATCACTTGAGAGTTGGATGAGACTTGGACACCCTGGCTGCGGTCTCCCAGTTCGACACGCGCGCGTGATTGCGATTGTGTGATTGTGTGTGTCTGTGTGTGTTGTGTGTTGTGTGTGGTGTGTGGTGTGTGATGTCTCTGGTGCGTGTGTGTGTGTTGTGTGTTGTGTGTTGTGTGCTGTGCATGTGTGTTGTGTATGCCTGCTGAGTGTTGTGTGTTGTGTGTGCCGTGTGTGTGTTGTGTACTTGTTTGTGTGTGCGTGTGTTGTGTGTGTGCGCGCGTGTGTGTGTATATGTGTGTTGTGTGCTGTGTGTTGTGTGTGTTGTGTGGTGTGCGTGTGTGTGTTGTGTGTGCTGTGTGTGGTGTGTGCGTGTTGTGTGTATCGTGTGTTGTGCGTGTTGTGTATGTGTGGTGTGCCTGTGGGTTGTGTGTAGTGTGTGTGTGTTGTGTGTGCTGTGTGTTGTGTGTGTTGTGTTTGGTTGTGTGTGTGTTTGTGTTAGGTTGAATGTGTGCCTGCGTGTGTGTGTGTGTGTTTGCGTGTGTGTGTGTGTTGTGTGTGTCGTGTGGTGTGCATGTGCGTGTGTGCGTGTGTGTGTGTTTGTGTGCTTGTGTGCGTGTGTGCGTGTGTGCTTGTGTGCCTGTGTGCGTGTGTGCTTGTGTGCTTATTTCGTGCGTGTTTGCGTGCGTGTGTGCTTGTGTGTTGTGTGTGTGCGTGGGTGTGCGTGTGCACGTGCGCGTGGGTGTGCGTGTGCGTGTGCGTGTGCGTTGCGTGTGTGTGTGTGTGTGCGTGCGTGCGTGCGTGCGTGTGTGTGTATGTGTGTGTGGGTGCGAGCGTGCGTGCGTGCGCGGAGTGCGCGTGCGCGTGCGCGTGCGCGTGCGCGTGTGCGTGTGCGTGTGCGTGTGCATGTGCGTGTCGTGTGCGTGTGCGTGTGGGTGTGCGTGTGCGTGTGCGTGTGTGCGCGTGTGTGTGCGTGTGTGTGCATGTGTGTGCGTGTGCGTGTGTGTGTGCGTGTGTGCGTGTGTGTGTTGGTGTGTGTGTTGTTGTGTGTGTGTGTGCGTGTGGTGTTGTTGTTGCTGCTGCTGTTGTTGTTGTTGTTATTGGTGTTGTGTGTGTTGTGTGTGTGTCTGTGTGTGTCTGTGTGTGTCTGTG